TGCAGATAACAGCATTCCAAAAACCAAAAATATATATCTGCTGGCCTAGTTTGAGAAAAAGAAGAAAACATCTGTATATCAAACAAAACAAACTCACTTTGTGGTGACCTTTTATCTTTCTTGTTTAAACTTGTTTAAATGGGCTATTAGCTGAATATAGGTACTCTGTGAATCTGCAGCTGTGATAAACTGTATCCTAAGTTCTCCCTGAGGTGGAGGACTCTGCACAGTTCAACTTAACATTTCCTCTGATCCTTGTAGATGCGATAAGGTCAGGTAATAAGGGGTCAGGGCAGGCCTCAGTGTTTCTTGAACAGAATTCAAATTCATCTTGCTGGCCTTAAAATCTATATTATCATACCAGTATCCTTACTGCAGCCTCTTATACACAGCTGTTGCAGTTTAGGTGTTTTAGGAGCCTTGAGAACTCCCGCTGAAATCAATTAATGGGGTCAGAAGCAACTTCTTTTGGAGTTTGGTGTGGCCTGACTGGAATAAATTGTCTGCAAAGGTAAGTGGGAGGTCAAACCTTCGGTTGTTCTGCAGTGGAGCTATTAGCATAAATTAATGCATTTTAGGCCAGTGTCTACTTTAGCTCCTCTGTTCCCGCAGCAGTAACGTCCTTATTAGGATGCAGACTGTGGAAACAAGCGAGGGTAACAGTGAGTTCAGCCAGAGGTTTTGTACAAACTCTGCCCTGTGTTTGTACAATCAGTGTCAGCAATTTGGTATCAAAAGGTTTCGAGGTAATAAAACACTCCACATGCTTGCCCTTTAGCCAATGACCTGTGAGTGCCATCACCGTTTTTCTGCATAAAATGAAATTCAAAACAACCTTGTATTGTTACCTATTTTGACAACTGAATCCCTGCGTTAACACTGCTTTTGCAATACATTATTGATATGTTTCTTAAAGAAATAGTTCACTCAGTAAAGGAAATATATAATTCATAAAATACCCCTTGTGAAAAAGAAGTCTGCTTAATTATACTGAATGCTCACCTGTAGTGTACTTCCAATCTTAAAAGTATATTTAATAAAAACTGTACTTGCTGATAAAATATTAATGAAATAACAAGCCACTTACTGTAAGTGTATGTAAAGAAAGAACACTTTCATGACTACTCGAGCAGTGCACTTTGTAATAATGTCAAATTAAAAGTTTTACTTTTAAAACGCAGTACATTTTAAATCACTTTCAAAAATATTGTCATACTTTAAAGATGTACATTGTTTTTGATATCTTGACTAAAGCGTGTAAAGTATTTCATAAGTATTATTATTTTAACTGTTATTTGATATTTCTATTAAAGTTCATTATTTTAAATGTGAATAACTAAACTGCAAATTCATTAATTACATGTCAAATATGTAATTACAAATATATTTAAATATTGCACATGGCAAGTTTCAATAGAAATTACATTAAAGTATATTTTAGTTCGTACATTTGGCAGTACACTTTAACCATATTTTAAAGTCAATAGAATTATGAAATGTTATTATTTTTATATTATTTATATATTATATTTAAATCGGGTCATAATTGCACTTAATATAAATTCAAACTATAATACATTTGCATTTAGTTGCAATTAACATATGCTAAAATGTTTAAAAAATGTAAATGGTGACAAAATTGTAATTTTCAGGAAATAAGGACAGCCATTTCTGCACAGCAAAAGTGTGACATTTCTGCATTGTTTAAATGGGTCATATGATGTTGCTAAAAAGAACATTATTTTGTGTATTTGGTGTGATGAAATGTGTTTATGCGGTTTAAGGTTCAAAAAACACATTATTTTCCACATACTCTACATTATTGTTTCTCCTCTATGCCCCG